GAAGCCTCTCACCGCCCCTGAGCCTCTGGCCTGTACCCCAGTTCTGTATGAATAAATAAATAAATCTTTAAAAAAAAAAAAAAAGCCCACAATTCCACTTTCCTGATCACGCTATTTTTCTTGTTGATGGTTAAACTTCCCCAAATTAGTGTCCACATTTTCTTGCCATTATTGAAATGGGTCTCATCTTGATCACCACTGGCAGCCAGTTCACCAAGTTCAACTATTAATTTTCTTTCTTTGTTGATATAACCTTAACTGGCACATATTATGTGAGTGAGTGTTTTTATGTTATCATCACACCCCACATTAGAGTTTGTCTATTGTAATGTAGCTCCAGTAATCTTCAAATCATAGTTCTAAAAAATATATGTTAAAACATTATGTGCCAACAGCTGAATTGGTGGTCAGAAGCCCAGGAAACTACTACTGAGATGGGAAAATGTACAAAATGAAGAATGATGTAAATAAATAAATTATTTTTAAAAAACCATTATGTGCCAGCCTTTGCTATGAGTGTATTGAATATACCCAAAGTTGGATAAGAAAAAATGACATAGGATCAAGGTAAATAATTTTTAAATTAACACAGGGATGGATGAATGATGAATAACAGGTTTTAGCTAGTTGGTATCTCTTCACTGTAAAGTTCTACTGCAAAGTCAAGCTGAGATCTGTTGTTCCTCGATATTTAGAGTAACTGTAGAATGATTACCATGAGGCCTTCTCTAAACACACGACTGATTAAAAGTTTGAAGCAAGTGACTATCTCTCTCCTTTCTTTGACTAAGGGTTTATGAGAAACTGGAGTGAAGTCTGGAATTGGTCACCGTAGAGAAGTAAAACCCCAGTGAGATGTGGTTACTGGTATCTCAGCCTGTGGAGGAGTCAGGCTAAGATTAGTAAACCCCAATTTTTTTTAATTCTGATTCCTCTTCTGTTTCCTGAAGAAGAGGTCGTTGAATAACTTGGGTTTGTCCAAAGGAAGATGACCAGAATGTATGAGGGTATTCAAATATATTAGGTTAAATGAATTTTAAAGCAACATGGGTTGATAGTTAGAATTGAGTTTGTACAAGTATAGAAACTGGCTTTAATGAGTTTTGGTACACAAGGATAATGAAAATTGCTCTAGGAGTAAAAGTATGGAAAATTGATTGAAGATATGGGAATATTGATTTTGCTATGAAGAAGATCTTGCTAATGATTAAAAACAAAAAAACCTGAATATAAAAGAGAACCACCAGAGAGTAGGGAGTTAGAGTATTCTTCTTTAAAATTTTGCTGGATAATTATTAAATAGAAATGTTTTGGAGTGGTTTGAAACCTCAAACAAATATTTGGATAAGGTGACGGTTGATTTCCCTTTTTATTCTGATAGCCTATACACGTATGAACTTAGGGGTGATGATATGAAAGACTCGTTTATCTGGAAGTTTCAGAAGAGACACCTCATGAGGTATTGCCTCAGGTACCATTTTACAAGCTGGAATACTATGGGCCACAAGTGACCCCAGGATTAAACACTCTTTCTGATGTGCTGATTGTTCTAATCAGAACATGTTCCTAGGCTTACATAACTGGGACATTTAAACTTGTAGTTGCTTTGATGTGAGAGTGGTATACACAGCTCACGTTATATGTTACCTTAGAAGAATGCAGTTTAAATTCCTTAGATTAAATTCTGATCATCTTAAAACATACCTATGTTAGTCAAATTAACTGTGAACTCCTTTAAAATAGCACGTGATGCTTTTTATAATTTTCCTCCTCTTAGTTCTTCCCTGTGTTCTGGCTTTGATCCGAATGTGTCTAGATGTTTCTTAATGCTCATGCTTCTTCCTGAAATGATCTACTTCCTGTTTATTACTTCCTATTGAAATGCTGCTCCTTATCTTTTAAGGATGTAGCTCCAAAAGTCTGACCTAGAGATCAATGCCTCTAAGAAAAGGACTGTTTGCCAACTAGTTTCCTAAGAGCCCCTTTGACATCCTTGTTTCTCAGGCTATAAATTATGGGGTTCAACATTGGAGTCAAGACTGTGTAGAACACAGATATCATCTTATCCCATTCTTTTATGGTCTTTGAGTTTGGCCGCATGTAGGTGAATATTCCTGACCCATAGAAGAGGATGACAACGATGAGGTGGGAGCCGCAGGTAGAGAACGCCTTGAGCCTGCCCTCCCCTGACTGCATCCGAATCACAGTGGAGATGATGTTCCAGTAGGACACCAGGATCAGAGAGACCGGCGCTAAGAGGATGACCACCCCCATGGCAAAGATGGCCATTTCTGTGCTGTAGGTGTCAGCAGATGCCAGCTTCAGGAGGGCAGGAGGCTCACAAAAGTAGTGATTAATAATGTTTTGTCCTTGATAGGGAAGTTGAAAAGTAAAGGTTGTGTCCACCAAAGACACCAGTGCCCCACTGGCCCAGGACCCTATGGCCAATTGGAAACATACTTGTTGAGTCATGATGGTGGAGTAGTGCAGAGGCTTGCAGACCGCCACGTAGCGGTCATAGGACATCACCGCCAGCAGGGCACACTCTGTACAGCCAACTAGAAGGAAGACGATTATCTGTGTCATGCACCCATAAAAAGAAATACTTTTCTTTTTTTCCAGAAAGTGGACCAACACTTGAGGGACAATGCTAGTAGAGAAACAGAGATCTGCAAAAGAAAGGTTTCTAAGAAAAAAGTACATAGGGGTGTGAAGTCGAGAATCCATGAAGATGAGTATGATGATGAGCAGATTTCCAAGCACAGTCAACAGATAAATGATGAGAAAAAGAAAAAATAGCAGGATCTGGGTCTTCCAGTCCTGTGAAAGACCACGAAAGATAAATTCAGTCACATAGGTTTGGTTTTCTTCTCCCATTGAGATAAATCTATGCCTGTTTACCTGTTTTGGCACAAACAAAAGAACAAATTTTGTGTTTATGACATTAGATCCTATAAAAGAAACACCTCTTGGACTGATACCCAGATGGTAATTTCTAAACTTTTGGTAACCAACTTGTTTTAGGTCTACCAAGTGAAATATTTTTATTCTTATTAGTTAGCTGTAATTCAAATCCTCTTCATGTTCCTCCAAGCCCTACTTTCTAAATGACACCAGTTTATAGAGTACAGCATTACTAATGTCTTCTTGGTTAATGTGAGGATGTTAGAGTTCATGCAGATTTTACTAAGTGACCATACACCCACTGTTAGGATAACAGTGTATATTCTCTAGACTATTTACATGATGAAAATTATACTACTAACTGTTCAAATACTACATATTTAATTATAACATACCCTTGAAAATGTGAACCAGTCTTCAGGCATCAAACTTAATTTGTCTTCTTAAATAATCTCAAACTTTAACAGGGTTAAATAATAAAGTCTTAACATATCATACACTAAGTACCATTCTATTTGGATTTAAGAGTAAGATATTAAAACTAAAACAAATAAAAGAACGAATGCTTTAAACTGCTGTGATTATATAGGATAAGATTTGGAAAACACTAAAGTCTTCTAAGAAACTATGAAGGGAAACATGTAGAGCTTACAACAAAATTGAAAGACTTATTGAGGTAATAACAAAAACAAAACATAAAGTACAAACTCAGGAAAATTTTGAGGAACAAAATTTAAATTAGTTTGTAATGTAAGTTCCATGTTAAAAAAAAAAAAACACTATGAAAAAATGGTGAGTCCAAGAAATGGGCCAAGGGTATGAAGAAGAAGAAATAAATAACCACTAAAATACAAGAAAACTACTCACTATTTTTATAGTTTGATATGTAATACAGTTAAAACAATGATAGATACATTTTTCATCTAGGAACTAAGATTTTAACAGCAACTAGCACAGCCAAAAAGAATAACTAGGTTTTTTATTGAGTATTTCACACAAGACTTTCAGGGTTTAATATGATTATATTTTCTCAATAAGATCATGAGGGAGATGGTATTAATGTTAAGATATTATGTGATACTATATTATTAGGCAATAATTAAAATGTTATATACTTTAATGAAGAACATAGAAGCCAACATGAGCAAATGGAAGTCTACCTAACTCCTAGATGGGAATTTAAGTATTATAAACGTGTCAATTCTCCCCAAATTATCAATGTTTAGAAGTTAGTCTCCTAATAATTATCTTTGTAAGAATTTGTTGAAAAGAAAAATTTCTGAGCTCTGGATATTTTCAGTAGGTTTGTGGCTGAACAAAGAAAATAGCCTTTTAACAAGTTTACCTGATTATCTTGATATGTGAATTTCTCCAAATGCATATCCTCAACTGACCATGTAAAGAATGTGTCTTCACTTGGAATCGGAAATATAAGTAAAGTAATAGGTATTTCTCTCACATTAGACAACAGAGGTGAAGTAGATTTAAATTACCCATTATATTTTTGAGAATGGAGCAAACAGATATGAAAAACATAGGCATGTACATTTATAAAATTTCTCTGGAAGGCTACCAAAGAATTTATAATATTTAATAAAATACAGCAACACCTGTTATATTAAATACACTACCGAGTTCCTAAATACAGGTATCCCCTGCTTTTCAACAGTTTGTATTATGCCACTTTTATGGAAGGCCTACATTGTTAGTACAGTTTCTGTTTTCACTAACTGCCAAGAATCAGAGGCGGATTGTGGAGTTCACTAAAGAACGCAAAGAGCCACCTTTGTTTCGTGACCACCCAGATAGAGATAGCGCATGCGCCAACTGTGAGCTTGGGGCCGAGCTCCTTTCCCTGTCGTAGCTCTGAACTCGGCATCTGTGCTTTATGTTGTGCATATATGAACAAAATATTTCCTAAGGGAAAAGTCTAAGGGAGTTTGTAAGAGTTTTACATTTTGTGTAAAACTGGATGTAATGGAAACTGCAATCATGAAAGACTGGCTCGAGAAGTCATCCGGGAGCTAAACGTGAAGCACTTTGTGTGAGATTTTCGCTTCTTACGGACAGTGCTGCTCTGATAGCAGGCAGCATGACTTTAATTTTGAAAGAGCGCGTAGAGGTTTGCATGATGTCTTGAATACAAAGAACTGAAAAATAGCATATGGACACGGCTAGGCCGTTTTTTTTGGTGCAGTTATATGCCGGTCTTCCTCATCTGCCACAGCAGCTGCCGCAGAGAGTGTATGTCGACGCTCAACATCAAGCGGGCAGGCACAGAGGTGTCCACACTGCTAGGCCGCCTGCCCTGAACATTCACACAGTGATGTGATGTTCACACTGACCCTCTTCCTCTGGGCCAGTCTCCTGGACCTCCTGCCACCCCAGTCTCTCAGCTTCCGTGTGTTCCTTGCCCTTCTGATTCGAGTAAGTGAAACTACGTTGTCCATACTTTGTAAAGGTTGTTTTTAGCACGTCATCAGTATATGTTAGTGTTAATGTGAGTTTTGTCTCATTTGGCATGATTTGATAATTTGGGGGGGGGAATCATTAAAAAAAATTCCATATGTTGATAAATGAATGAGAATCATTCCTTTGCTTTATGCCATTTGGGCTCATGAAAGATTTCATATGGAGGCTCTATTTTCAAATAGCTGGGAGACTTGTAATGGAATCTGTATGGTACAGAGGGGTAAGAGTGAATTATCTGTGTCACACAGGCATGGATTGGATCCTTGTTTTCCCATTTCTTATCTCTGTGAACCAGAAAAATTTATTTAGTTTTCTCCTTTAGTTGCCTCAGGTTCCTAATGCAAAATGAAACACCAAGGTTCACAAGTGTGGCTTTAAAGATTAAATTGAGTACTTTGTGGAAAGTTGTTTGCACAGTGTTGGCAATTACATTGACAAGATGACTACTACAGTGACAATAATACATCAGCTTTAGGGTAATAATCCTTATTATCATAATAAAGATATGTTATTAGTAATGATAGGATCTCAGTAATGAACTTTAGATCTTGAAGAAGTAGAGCTATATTATCCATAGAAAGCTGTTTGACATTGTTGACTGAAAACAAGTGTTGTGAAATAACATGTGTGGGTATAATACATATTTATGGGGGTCTGAGTGTGTGCGTGTGTGTGTGTGTCAAGATGATTCCATTCAATAAACCTTTATCATGTTGATAATTCTTAACACACAAAAATTTAGAATCTATATACAGAACGGTAGTATATTTAAAGAATGATTATCTCTGTCTCAAAGATAGATTGGTGTGTTCGGGTATGTATTGTGTGTGTGTGTGTGCATTGGAGAAGAATATAGTTTAATATCCAAACAATAGGAGATTAAGAAATGAGCAAAAAAGAGTTAAATAAGATGAACTATAGAGTAAGTTCTATTCCGAGTAAGATTAGGGATAAGCATTCTTTCACATTCTAGAAAATGTCAACTTTACTAATTAATTCAACAATGGTGTCTCTTTATGGAAAGGAAAAAGAGGAAGAAAAAAAATACCAGGAAAATAGAATGAAGGGAATAGAGATAGAAGAAAGCAGGGAGGGGAAGCTGAACATGGAGGGCAGGGATTCAAAGATGCAGAGAACAGGAAGAAGGAATACCAGTAGGTATCTGTAAATCCTCTGTTCCCGCAAACTGAAAGAATAGACAATGAATATTTTATCCCTCTAACTAACATGACCTTGTTAGCTATCTTTTCTTAACAACTCTGTTTCACATCACACAGCAGCAAACATGGGCTTATCCTTGTCATACACATACACCATATGGTATGCATACCTACTCATCTCGGCTTCATTAAAATATCTCACACAAACATACAGATAACAGATTTCTCATTCCATATGCTTATATATATATATACCTTCATGACCAAATCTCTCACCATAACAGAAGGGGTCAGAGGAAGTACTGAACCAATTGGGTACTAAGAATAGGCCATGTAGGAATTCACCATACCTGGAGGGGATATTAGCATTTGAGGTACACATGTGAGAGCACTGGCGGCAGAGACTGGCATCCACTGGTGGAGCAACAGACAACCCTGATTGCGCTTGTAAAACCCACCCTTCCTCTGAGGCCTAACTCACCAGGGGATTGCAAGCAATGGTGTTAGCCTCCCTCCACAGTTTAGCACAGACTTCTGTTCCCTTCACATATAACCACACCCGGAACATGATTAAGGACAAGAAACTCTTGAAGGGGTTCATTAAACCTAGAGTTACAGTTTCCTCCCAGCTCCTGGGCTGTCACTGGGAGATGGCTGAACAAATGCAAGCTGCAGGGAATAATGAATATTGCAGCCTGGCAGCAGAGGGCAGGGGAGAATCAGGAAGAGTTATTTTTGCAGTAACTAGAAGAAAGGCATGCTAGAAGGCACAGCCTTTGTGATCTGTGTAAACTGTCTCATCTCAGAAGGAGGAAGTCTGGAAGAGGGGTTTCGTGCTGGGATTCTGGAGAAGAATGGGAATAAATTGTCTCCGAGAGTTGAACTAGGAAAACTGATGTGTAAGAGAATCAATGCCAGAGCTCATTTTTCCCAACACTTTCCTACCCAACCCCAAATCAATACTACAGAATCCTACCGATTGAGTTCCATCAATACATTTTCCACTCTCACCTGATGGCAGAAATCTGCAGAAACTGTGTTGAGGGGTCACTGGTGAAGGAATGGAGGATTCCATGCAGGAGGGAGTGATTTCTGTTGCCTGAGATCCATTCTTGAAGGCAGCACCCACCTGAGCTGTGCCCTGAACAGTGCGCCTAAGCACTGCACTAGCCATCCTGTGTCTCTGTCTCCATCCTAAGTCATTCTGTCTCACTTGATGCAAGGTACCAACTTCAGTTATCACCTCTAAACAGAGGATTTTCCTTTGAGGAAATATTTAAAGGTGAGGTCTTGAGAGTGATGTAAACAGAACATTCCCTGGAGCTTTATAAGAGCCCCAAC